CACTGATGCACAGAGAGCCTGGGTTGTGTGGAGGTTAAGAGCACAGACTGCAGTCAAGCTGCTTGGGTCTGAAACCTGTTCAGCTGTCACTAACTGTGCAACCTTGAGTAAGTTGCTTAACTTCCTTGGGCCTCAGTATCTTCATCTGTAAAGTGAGGCTAATAATAGTACCAACCTCATGGGGCTGTTGTGAGGGAGATGTGAACTAACACCTGTGCAGGGCTTAGAACAGTCCCTGGCAGAGGCCATTCTGCCTAAGTGTTAGCTACTGTCATTGTCATGGTCATTATTATTATTTACAATGCCTTCTATCTACTGGGAGGACTAGATGGAACAACTATTGATGTCCCCACCTAACGATGTGGAAACAGAGACAGGAAAGTAGGAGAACTGCTCATGGTCACACAGCTCCTGAGTGCCCAAAGCAGGATCAGGACCTGTGTCCTCAGAGGCAGGGAAGAAGGTGACAGCTAGCAATGCTAAAAGGAAGTGCTCTCAGCCCCAGAGCTAAGTGGAGACAGGCTGTTCTATGAGACACTTCTCAGCCGATGCTGCAACAGGATGGGGCCTGAGCTGAATGCCTGGCAAGATGTCTCCTGTCCTTTATACCCCAGCTCTGCTAGGGTGAGCTCGCCTTTGGCCTTGTCAGCAGCAAACCTGCTGAGCAGCAGTCCTGCCTCCTATTGAGTGGCTCTGATTGTGGCCAAGTCCCCCCAGGGACTGTAGTCCTCCTAGCTGGCTTGGGCAGAGGCACTGCCTACCTGAAATGACAGGAGCAAGTGCTATTGTGAGGGAGTGGACTTGTGGGAGACTCATAGAGACGGCGCATGTCCTGGGCCCATCTGCTGAGGAGAACTGGCAGGACCTGGGCTGATGTCATTCAAATAGCCTAGCTCATTCTCTCTAATTTTGAAGACAATTATTTTGCTCACAGAACTGCCTGCCCCTCAGTGCCTCAAGCCTCTCACCATCTCTCAGTCCTACCCACGTAGCAGCTAGATTCTGCCTTCTCAGAAATATATCACTTAGGGTCTTCCTGGCTCCGTAGCCTTCAATGCCTTTCTGTCACTTGTCTTATCACATAGCACAGCCTGGGATCTAGGATCCTTCCACCCCAGATCACACTACTCACGATTGCTCCAGCCTAGCAGGTCTTTTCCTCACCAGTGATCTGCCTACTGCCACCTTGGGCTATTTTCTGTTTCTCACCCCAATCCATCCAAGACTCTTTTGCATACAAGATTGGAACCCACCTCCCCCTCTAGGAACCCCTTGCGGATTTAGGGTCCCAAGTCTTGCCTCTTCTCTATGCATCTCCTTTCTTCTTACCCAGCAATTACTCTCTTATACTAAATGCTCTTGCTCTTTTATTTCTAAGGCCTTCTCCTGGGACATCCATGAACCCTGAAAGGGGATAGCAAATGTATTGGTCAGAGCTATGGTCAAACTGGCCATTATCACAGATATAGAAAGATAAATAAAGAAAACTAGAAATTATTCACATAAACCTAGTAAAACATTTGGCTATAAACCCAAGAACCAGATGTGTAATTTATTTAACAAGCCATTTTCTCTTTCCTTAATGTCCAAACTAGATGTTCCTGGTATCTTAGAGATTTAACTCTAATTTGACAACCGTTCCCCCTAACCATTTCACAGATGAGCAAAACTATGGCCCAAAGACATCTTGTGCCTGGCCAAGCGTTGCTCAGAAGTCAATTCTCACTCAGAAAGCTGGACCGTATTAGCCTACATGTTGCCTCCTCTTACCAGGCCAAGAGCCTCCCGAAGCAGGGACTTTGTTTCTTGACCCCAAATCTCCCAAGATCTTAATTCAAGTAGGGGAAGGGCAGGGCCTCTGTGACCTTGGTCACCTGGGATCCTATCCACCCTTCTTATCCCCTCCAGAAAAATATAAGCACCTCAGGAGCCCCAACTGGGCCCACCCTTCCTGTTGGGTGTTCTAGAACTCTCCAGCTTCCTCCTGTGTCATCAGCCTCAGCAACAACACTGGGTGTTTCATTTTTAATGGCCAGTATCTGATTAACTAACTTATGATAGGATGTTAGTGACTTGTTAATAGCCTGATGAACTGCTTCTTCCTGGGACATTTGTATTTGGAGGGAAGCCAAGACTAGGGACACGGAGGGCACTGCCCCTATTAGTACTTGGTAGATAGATGGTCAATAAATATTCTATAAGTACTTCAGCACCAATGGTTGTGAGGTAATGTTTGTGAAGTGTTTTCTGTTTAGTTTTATACTTGGCAGATACCTGCTAGACAGTGGCTTGTTGTTATTTCTAATGGTAAATTCCTCAAGCACTAAGAATGGTCCGAGTAGAGAGCCTGGGCCTGTGGGTATGCTACCCTTTTCCCTGTTCTCAACATCTAATGCCACTGTGTGAGAATGTGCCCGAGCCAGACACCCCATGGGAGAGGAAGGAAGGAGAGAGGACTGGATAAGTTCTGCTTTACCCCCTACTTTTAGTCGTTGATGACAGTAGCTGGACATTGAATATGTACCAGATACTTAGGGAACACTTTATATAGATAAACAAGAATAACTGTTTGCATTAGAGTTCATTGTCTCATTCCTAACTGGGGGCACTGAGGCTCCCAGAGGTGAAGCAGAGTGGCAGAGTGGGAATCAGGTATCCGGAGCCTTGGCTCCCTCCTGCTACCGCTCCAGACACCCTCTCTGCCATCTGGCTGCTTCTCCAACCAGGAGACATTTGCTCCCTGGTCTTGCCTTGGGATGGCTGGTCAGAGTCTGGCCCTGGCCCTGCAGGGAGTCTACTGAGGGAGGTGGGCGCATGGATCATGAGTGTGATCATGGGCACATGGATCCTCACCCAGGCCCCAGGGGTACAGTACGTGACACATAGATATCAGTATGACACATAGAGGAGCCAGGGTTTGGAGAAGAGAGGACAGGGTTTCAGCAGGATTTCAGCTGAGCAGAGGGATTTGGGTGAAAAAAGATGGGGAGAGAAGGGTCCTGGCCCGGTGGGAACAGTTTGGCAAATGCTGGAGGTAGCTACAGATGAAGCCAGTGGGTGAGATGTCCTTGAGCAGGTGGGGAGCAGCGAGGAAGGGAGTTGTTGGATGGGGCAGGGGCAGCAACTGCAGTACATGACAGCTAAGTTGGGGCTCTGCAGTGCACGTCTGAGAAACAGCCGCAGAGCTGTTGGTGGAGGACTGCTGTGCCAGGAATGCATTCTGAGAGCACTGAAAAGTGTTCAGTGTTATACCACACACTCCTGTGTCCTCAGCACTTGCACAATGCTGGGCACAGTGTGCACTCAGTAGAGGTTGACAAGAGGGATAAAGGAAAGGAGGGAGGGAAGAGAGTATAACTGACCTCAGGTCTGGGTCTAACATCCATACAAAGGTTGATGTGTGATATGTGTTGTGGCCTTCAGAGGAAATCATGATAGCTGCTCACAGGGTAACTGTCTTTCCATACAACCAAGAACATGCCAAGGGCTGAGGGAGGTAGGCGGAGCCCAGAAGGCCTCTTTGAGGAAGATAGGATGTAGGCCATAGAGCAAGAGGGAGTGAGAGGAGAGGGTGGGTGAAAGATGAAGAGAAACAGGGAAGGAAGGCAGGGGAGGGACAATCTCCTACACAAAGGAAGAGAAAGCCCTACTAAGCCTATCTTTGGATTCTTCTCCCTCCTGTGCCCATCCAGCCAAGAGCTACAGCTCATCAGGGGGCTTCAGGTGGGCAAGGCCGTCTCCAGAGACAGAGCCATGAGCTGAACATGGCAATCATGGGAGTGGGTCCATCCCCAAGCCAGTGACCTAGGATGGAGAGGACAATGAGCAGACCCTCTAGGGCAGGTGCACAGGACTGTTTGGAGCAGAATGGCATGGTGCTTACTACTCACCTCTTTTGGGGTCTTTCTGTCCTGAACCTGCACCAAGGCCTGGTGTCATGGGTAGGCCCAGCCAGCCTCTGTTCTTGGCCTTTGTGTCCAGGGAAGGTGGTGCAGGAGTTACAGCTTGTGTTGACAGCAACTTCTTAATTAAAGGCTAAACCAGTGATTCCTGTCCTCAGGTAGCTTCAACTCTCATTTGCAGGAATATATTATAGGAACGACAAAAATACTGAAATGGATCACTCAGGAATCTGTTCTTTAAATCCAAGTTAACCTCTCTCTGTCTCCTCTGTACTCTGCTGGTTGAGCCCTGCTCCCCAACTCCATTCTCCTCTGTTTTCCTCATTCTCTCCAGGTTGTGAGGCATTTGTCCCACTCCACAGCTCCCAGGATGTCTTATGGTGGGTGTTAGAGGGAGATGAAGTGTGGACCTCTGGACCTCTAGAGAATATGCAGCAGCAAGTGATTTCCATGATCTCATGGCTGGTGCTGGCCTGGGCTGCTCATGTCCCATGCCAGGGACAGGGTCCCTCTGCCCCTAATCCCCCAGAAGAAAAAGCTGCTGCCTGGTATGGTTGAAGTCTCCAGGAGGCCCAGGGAGGATCACTACCTGAACAGTCTTCCTGTTTCTGGGGAAGAGGAGGACACATCTCTGGTTGGAGCCCTCTGATAGTGGCCTGCCCTGACCAAGAAAGTCAAGACCATTTCTGTTCTCTGAACTCTGGCAGGAAGCCAATGACCCAGAGAGGATTAATCAGGACCGAGGAGGTGATGTGCTATGACATCCCCCCAGAGAGCTGAGACCAGGGGCAAATTACCCTATAACAGCAGGTTAATTAGATAAGACCCAAATTATATGAGCAAGGCGTGCAAGCCCAGCAATTTGAAGGTTTCATGTTGTTTCAGAGGTGGGGAGGCCTGATCTCTAGCTCAGCACAGAGAAAATGACTTCTTGCTCCCAGGCAAGCCAAACCCACGAATTAAGCTCTTGACTGCCCATCCTCAAGCCCAGTGCCAAGCACATATAAAAGCACCTGTCAGTCCTCCCTGTAGCCAGCAGAGTCTTTGTGGGATTTTGCCTTCCTCCTTTTGCATCTAAGCTTCATCTCCACCAGCACCATGAGCCGCCAGTTCACCTGCAAGCCAGGAGCTGTCGCCAAGGGAGGCTTCAGCGGCTGTTCTGCAGTACTCTCTGGGGGCAGCTCATCCTCCTACCGGGCAGGGGGCAAAGGGTTGAGCGGGAGCTTTGGAAGTCGGAGCCTCTACAACCTAGGGGGTGCCCGGAGCATCTCCTTCAATGTGGCCAGTGGCAGTGGGAAGAATGGAGGTTTTGGATTTGGCCGCAGCCGGCCCAGTGGCTTTGCTGGCAGCATCTTTGGCAGTGTGGCTCTGGGGCCTGTGTGCTCGACCGTGTGTCCACCTGGAGGCATCCACCAGGTCACCGTCAATGAGAGCCTCCTGGCTCCCCTCAATGTGGAGCTGGACCCCGAGATCCAGAAAGTGCGTGCCCAGGAGCGGGAGCAGATCAAGGCGCTGAACAACAAGTTTGCCTCCTTCATTGACAAGGTGGGTCTTTTAGGACCAGAGGAACCTGTGAATAACTCCCTTTTCTCTTCTTGGAATACGAGTTTGTTAGAGCAGGAGGGGGGCTTGAGGTTATATTAAGAAGGAACTTACTGTGGACAAGGGAAGTACTTCCATCACGAGGGTGCCTTGTGTAAGAGTCTCTGCATCTTCTTCCCAGACAGATAACGAAGGTAGGCTTAATTCTTACTGGTAGAGGCATTTTTGGGTACCAGAAGGAAATCTCAAGGGAAGAGATCTGGTCTTTATTCTTGAAGGCCAGCTTGGTGTCATTGTTAATCACAGGGGCCTGGTAGACTGTGCGCAGTGAAGGCCAGTGAGAGAGAACATACCCCAGAATAGGCAGGGAAGCCTGACCTCTCATGCATATTGGCCTTGACTGGTGCCTGAGGAGCATTGCTGTGTCCCCATCCTGGGCCCTTTGGATTACCAGATGTCCCTGCCATGAGTCTTTCAGTTGATTAAGGACTCTCTTGGGAGGCAGAAGAGTACTGAGGGGCAGAGGCTTCCATAGTGCTCTGAAGTCTGAATTGCCTCAACACCAACCAGATATGTGGCTTTGTGAAAGTTACTTGTCTGAGTCTTTATCTTCTCATCTCAAAATGGAGATAGTAATCTACCGCCTAGGAGTGTAATAGGTTTAGAAAAGAAAATGCATGTGACAATCTTGGCACAATTCCTGACAAGTACTAAGTACTCCAAAAATGGTGGGTTTGTTGCTATCTTTTATCTCTAGAAGCTATGGGAGGGGTGCTGAAAAGGAGAGGAATCATAAGTCTAGAAGAGAGCACAGATCTTCTAGTCCAGACAGTCTCCTGATTTGGCATAGATAAGAAATGATTACCCCTGTTTTGTGAGTCAGCAAAGACAGGGGGCTGAGGCCATTAGGAGGATGGGAAAAGAGGGGCTAGATCCTCAGTCTCCTGCCTCTAGATACAGCAGAGGAGATTAGAGGCCTCTGTTGGCTTGGTGACACTCAAACAACAAGGACAAGTCAGCCCAGGATAAAGTCTGGGCCATGGGGCCTCAGAGATAAGCCTGCCCTTGCAGCTCTAGCCTTCCTGCATAGAGGATGGCTTCCAGCCTTCTGCTCAGCCTCAGAGGCCAGGGCTGGCTCTGCAGTTTCTTAGACCTCCATCTGTATCACATGTCAAGATGTCCTGAGGATTGTGGCTCAGGGGGAGGGGAGGGGAGGGGAGTGGATTGACTCTTGCCTGCAATGGTCAGATCCTACCTACAAACGGGATGTCTGGAGACATGGAAAAAAGATGGACATAAAGACAGGCTTGTTCACAGAGGTAGTCTGCCCAGAGGGAGGGGGAAGGAGATGCAAACCCTGGACTGTGCGATTTTCATCTCAGGAGAAGTACAATCCCTTAACCTCAGACAGCTAGAGAAGATGGCGAATCTGTCAGCAATTTAAATGCGTCTAGTGATGCAGATGCGTACTGTGGTTTCCTGGATGTAGGTTTACTTTGTGCTTAATGCTCAGATCACGTGCATCTACGAAGGATTCAGGATCAGCTAAATCAAGCCAAGTGCTGGATGACCCACTGGTGAATAATCTTGTCTCAACACTGAATCTCACAGTGTTCCCATGCTCTGTGTTCTCTGACTTTGGAGAACAAAACTTTATTTAAAAAGTAGCTGTACTCACATAGATTTTTAAAAGTCACATTTTAAACCTTGTGAACCCTCAAATCAGACAAGAGACGTATGTGCAGATCAGCCCCCTGCGGTGAGTTTCCTGCCTCACCATCTTCCACATGCCATGCATGCTCTGGGGAAGGTGGACTGAGGGGGAAGGAAGAGACTTTGGGCAAAGATGGGCTTGGAGCCTGAGACAGGAATTGAAAATATTCAAAAGCCCTAGACCCAAGCCTCACTGCATTTGACACATCATGAAATGGTCACTCTTTCTGGTAAGATGGGCCTGGTCTGGCTCTGCCTTGGTGTTTCCAGGCAGGCTCATGCCCTGCACTGATTTGGACATGGTGGCTCTGGCAATTGGATGCAGGCACAAGTGTCTGGTCCAGTTCTGGGCTGCACCACTTATTAAAACTTGGAAAGAGGTAACACTTCTCCATGCTTCAGTTTTCTCTCTATCAAACAGGGTTATGTTCCCCCGCCCCATGCAGCTGTATCGAGGGGTAAGGGAGATCAGGAAGGCACAGCAGTTACACAATGCCTTTGAGCCACAAGTGCAACCGTCCAGGGGCTCAACTGTAGCTGGGACTTGGGTTCCAGGTGCGGTTCCTGGAGCAGCAGAACCAGGTGCTGGAGACCAAGTGGGAGCTGCTGCAGCAGCTGGACCTGAACAACTGCAAGAACAACCTGGAGCCCATTCTTGAAGGCTACATCAGCAACATGCGGAAGCAGCTGGAGACACTGTCAGGGGACAGAGTGAGGCTGGACTCAGAGCTGAGGAATGTGCGTGATGTGGTGGAGGACTACAAGAAGAGGTGAGTGAGGAGGGACCTCTGTGATTGGACACCTGCCTCAGTTCCTCTAAGGGACCCTGGCAGTCACCTCAGTTCAAAATTCCTGGAGTTGAGAGGTGGTGTTTTCAGTCATGCCAAGTAGAATCACCCTAACAAGTCTAGAGCATGCTCCCTGCTGCCAACCTACTGGCTTGGCATTCAGGACACATGTTGAGTTACCCAGGAGTGGTCAGAGTTTTCATGTGTGAAGAAGAGGTTCAGTATGCCCACCTCCCAGACTAGTCTGGAAGTGACTAAGGATAGGTACGGGGAACACTCTGTCACATGTGATGCTTTCTTCAAGTTGGGAGAGGAGAACAGCTTGGTTTCTTGCTTCCTCCGAGATTCCCAGGGAGGATTTTCTCCACATGCTTCTCTGTTTTCCAAGGTGGATCTCCACAGTCCCCTTCTCCTGAACTTGGTCCATCTCCCCAGCCCAGGAAGCCTTCCTTGTCTGGCTGGCCCCAGACAAGGTGCTCATAGCCCCCACTCTTTGTGCCTCTCAGTGGCATCCTGGGGAACACAGGCTCTTGGTGAAAGAAATGAGCCAATGAATTCTGGCCTTCTCACAGGTATGAAGAGGAGATCAACAGGCGGACAGCTGCAGAAAACGAGTTTGTGCTGCTCAAGAAGGTGAGGGGAGGGCAGCCCTGAGAACAGGGATTGACTGGTACCAGGGTGCTGAACTTGCCTGTGTGCTCTGCCTCCAGTCCCAAATTGAGCAGATGTAGAAATAGTGAGGGAAGGCAGAATAGTGATGAAAGGCTTTCCAAGAGAAGAAATGAAAGGGACCTAATATGAAGGGCTCCCCTGCAACCAGGGGACCTGGCTTAGATATCACAGGGTATCTCTGATAGTGGCTTTGCTAAGGCTGCCTTCCTGAGAGGGGCATCCCATTGCTACGGACAGAGCAGATTATTCTCAGGATGGGCTGGGGGAAAGGGCTGGACATTTAGCTCCTCCACCCTCTTCATGAGCTACACAAAGGAAGGAGGGTGTCTCCCTCCCTGAGCAAGGTGCCCAGGGAACTTGGGACTGGGGCAGATGTTACATTCCTGGCTGCACCAGTAGTGACTGGGGTTGGCTGGGGCATCTTTCAGGATGTGGATGCTGCTTATGCCAATAAAGTGGAACTGCAGGCCAAGGTGGACTCCATGGACCAGGACATCAAGTTTTACAAGTGTCTCTTTGAAGCTGTAAGACTGAATCTTCAATCCATTCTGTGGGAAGCCAGTCAGTACTCTTCTCTGAGGGCTGGGAGAGACACAGAGAGCCTCCCAGTCAGTTATCCATCTCCTGCTCAGCCCTGTGAGGCTCCTCAGTCTCCTCCCTCTGGGTGAGAAGGGAGGGGGCAGGCCTCACTCCATGGCAATGAGAATCTATCTGAAGCATAGCAGGAAACTTGCCCAGGGAGGTGACAGTTACGGGTTTCGGGTTCAGACTGACATCACTAGAATTTGTTTGCCTTGCTTGGGTGATGTCATCAGCCTTTGACTTGGTCGAGCTGAAAGATTGCTTCCATTTCTCTTGTAGGAGTTGGCTCAGATCCAGTCCCACATCAGCGACATGTCTGTCATCCTGTCCATGGACAACAACCGGAACCTGGACCTGGACAGCATCATTGATGAGGTCCGCAATCAGTACGAGGACATCGCCCTGAGGAGCAAGGCTGAGGCTGAGGCCCTGTACCAGACCAAGGTGAGCTGCGCTGAGGCTGAGCTGGGAGTGACACCAACTGGCACATGGGCTAGATTTGATGGTCCCAGAATAGAGGCAGTGTCCAGTTAGGTGACCTCATGACATCAGCAACCTGGAGGTTTCATGTACTCTCGTGACAAATTCTCCATGCTCATCCACGGCTCTGTGTTTTGGGGTCCCCAGTTCCAGGAGCTGCAGCTGGCAGCTGGCCGGCATGGAGATGACCTGAAAAACACCAAGAATGAGATCACAGAGCTCAACCGGCTCATCCAGAGACTCCGCTCAGAGATTGAGAATGCCAAGAAGCAGGTAAGGGACCTTGGCCAAGGCCAAGGACAAGTGAGTGGAGTGGAAGGCAGATGAGCTGAATGAGAATCAACCTGATCTGTGACAAGAGGAGGAGGCCAAGGAGATCACTTCTTCCAACCCTAAGAGCGGGCTGTCTTTGGGACATTTCCCCTACTCATTGCAAGCATCTTGGGTTAGAAGCTCCCTCCTTCAGGGAGGGCTGGGACCTTTTCCACAATTGTGTGTTTGTCAGGTGTCTGGGCTTCCCTGCAGTTGTCACACTTTCTGAAATTTCCCAGCACCACCTCTCTCCTATCCCCATTAGACTGAAGGGGGAAGGGATCTGGCTGCTTTGTGCCTTCCTGGTGTCTAGAACAGTGCCTGCCCAGAGCTGCAGCTTGATAAACATTTGTTGATGAAATGATTGAGGAGAAATGGGCTCAGGGAGAACACATTAAAGCACCTAACTAAGGGCTTACTAGTGTCTACTCCCAGGATTATAGAAGGCAGCCTCGGTATTAGCAGGCGGATATACAAGAGTCACATATATAATAAAATAGCAGTAGTGCCTATCATTTTATCACATTTAATCCTCACTAAAACCCTGAGAGGCAACACTTACCATTCTCATTGTTACCAGTGAGGAAACTGGAACTCAGTGGGTAAGTGAATTGCAGAGCTGGGGAATGGCAGAGCTGTGCTCTGAACCAAGGTATCTCGCCTGGAGACTGGTCCTTCTGTTCTATGTTCTCTGTAGTCTCCCATGGGCTCTAACACTCAGCAACCCTGTGACTCTGAATAAGTCACCTGTCTTCACTCCTCAGGAGGTCTAAATGAGCTGAAGTATGTAAATGGCACGGGCAGTGCTGAGCTAGTGTTGGGTATTCAGTGAGCACTTGGCAAATAGTTGCTTGTGGGGAGTCTCCTTCCCAATGCCCCTGGTCCTTGGGACCGTGCATCTGGGCAACTGATGTCATTGCTCCTACCATGCTCTGTTCCAATGATGTCTCCTTCAGACCATCACATGAAAGAGCAGAAAGCCAATCTTCTTGCTCATTTCACATCCTGGGTGTAATGTGGCTCAGTGAATGTCTCTGCATTGAACTGAAGTGCAGTTGGACTCTGTTGGCTCTGCTCTCAGGAGGGCAGGATGCACAATTTCTCATCACTGCAAATGTCTGCACACCACAAGAGGCATGGAGCTAGAGCTCAGGAAGAACTTGCCAACCCCTTCAACTAGAGAAGAAGTGTTGTGTGCATAGGGTGGAGGGGGGCATCTCTGTCCTGGGATCTTAAGGGTTTGGATACAGATGAAGCCAGTGACTCCTTTCAGTTTTCTAACTACTCTAATTCTTTATTTAGGCTTCTAACTTGGAAACAGCCATCGCTGATGCAGAGCAGCGAGGAGACAGTGCCCTCAAGGATGCCCGGGCCAAACTGGATGAGCTGGAGAGTGCCCTGCACCAGGCCAAGGATGAGCTGGCCCGGATGATGCGCGAATACCAGGAGCTCATGAGCCTGAAGCTGGCTCTAGACATGGAGATCGCCACCTACCGCAAGCTGCTGGAGAGCGAGGAGTGCAGGTGGGCTGGGTGTGCTCAAGCAGGAGGCCCCCACAGGTGTGGGAAGAACTAAATGAGAAAACCTAACATATTCTTATCCAGAAAAACAAGAGTTGATGGGGAGTGATGAATGGTGATGACAGAGAGAACACTAATAATTAATGATTCTAGCCATTAGTAGGTATGAGTAGCCACTCACACTAAGAGCGCTTATATCAACCCAGGCTCTGAGATGCTATGTGATATGCCCTGTGGATTAGGTCATTCAGTCCTCCCACTGCCCCCTGTCCCTGAAAAACCTCATTCCTCTATTAGGCTGCTTTCATCTTCCTTATCTGTCTCGGCACCCTGGGAGTTTGTCAGAGGTGTGTTGGGCAGCCACTCTGGCTTCCTTGATGTGCTGAGAGGATAAGAAGGCTAGGTATCTGGGCCTGGGCTACTGCTCCAACAGGTGTACCACTTGCAAGCTATGATTTTACTGAGGTTGTTTCCTAGTTACCCCTAAGGATTCAGGGTTAGCCCCCCAAATTTTCTCAGACTCTGATTATACCAAAGAAGCCCTGGAGTTTCCACAGGTGTCCATTGGAATCAGAAGCCCACTTCAGGCTAGTGGGGTAATAGCTTTGAAAAGATGGTGGGTTGGATAGCTGCTCTCTCTTACTTTACTCCTCTCTTTAACAGGATGTCAGGAGAATATCCTTCCCCTGTCAGCATCTGTAAGTACTTGTGTGCTTTGATCTAAATTATAGAATCTGTGGGCCGGGGATTTAGCTCAGTAGCACTGCACCTTCCTCACAAGCACAAGGTCCTGCGTTCGATCCCCAGTAGCAAAAAAAAAAAATTGTAGAATCTGCAGTTGGGATAGGATCGTATTTATACCCCAAGAGTATAGATGAAAATCTAAGAACTAGAAAAGGAAAAGCTGTGCCTGAGACCATGAAGTCAAAGGGCAGATCCACGACCAGAAAATAGGCCTCCTGCCCTGGGTTCTTTTGTCCTTATCATCCTCTGTTCCCAGAGGGATGGCTATTGCCTTTGTGATTGGGGAAACAAAGGACATGTTTTAAGAAAATGGGCCTGTGTGAGGCTTGAGAATCTGAATTTGTAAGCTTGCAATCAGATCTGGGCTTGGAAATTACAGAATGGGGAACCTCAGAGAGCATTTTTGGATTTCTCTGCAGGGCTAAAGAGTTAATCAGAGCACTGGACAGCTATGGATTATGAGGAAGCTATAGGGGATAGAGGTTGGAGTCTGGGAATTCCGCAGAGAGGCTAACAGAGGCAGTACGTGGGTGTCCAGAAAGGCAATGGGTATCTGGATGAAGATGAAGGGGCCCCTGAGCATTAATGGGCATGGCTCAACCAGATTGGGTACAAGCTGAAGAAGCCAAGGACAGGGCACGGGGGAAGGTGTCTTCGGGCTATTCTCCCCAAGGGGAGGGAGTGGCTGTGATCTGGGCCCCCAAAGAGCCCTGTTCATCCTGGGAAAAGGAGACCACTTCCAGCCTGAGTGATACTGACCCCAGCTTTCTCCCCACAGCCATCATCAGCAGCACCAGTGGCAGCAGTGGCTATGGCTTACGTCCCAGCACCGTCAGTGGTGGCTACGTAGCTAATAGCACCAGCTGCATCTCTGGCGTGTGCAGTGTCCGTGGTGGAGAGGGCAGGAACCGGGGCAGTGCCAGTGATTACAAGGATACCCTGGGGAAAAGCTCTAGCCTGAGCACCTCCTCCAAGAAAGGCAGTCGGTAGAGAGGGCTGTCCATGCCCTCCCTTATCTCAGGACCCCAGTTCTGCACCCCACCCCCACTGCCAACCCCACTTCCACCCTGCTGGTCCTACCCCTGGGCCCCTGGCTTTGGCTGCCAACTCAATTCTCTCATCTGTGTCTTCTGAGCCTGGACAGATCTGGACCACCATGCCTGATTTAAGTCCTTCCAGCACACACCTGGGGGCTGCCTCCTTGACTTTGATTCCCCAGCCATACAGGCAGCACAGCCCCAGCTCCAACCTGTCCTCCTCTGCCATCCACCACCTGAGGCCTCATTATGCTGCTGGGCTCCCACGGCCTCAGATCAATGCCGCTCACATGCTGGGCCTTCATCTTAGCGCCTGTCTCTGCTAGGGGCTGGCTCTGTGTTTAGGAGAACTGAAGAACCGCCAGGAAAGAATGACCCAGGCTCACCTCATCCTGGCACAGCCTCGTGGCTTATTCTGAGTGGGAACCAAACACAACTCTGGGTTCTCTCTTCACTCTTTTGCATGCAGAAACAGAGAAGAGGGACAGCTCCTGTATTCTTTAAGGCCCTTCCTGTTGCATCCTTAATAAATAGCACAGTCTCATGGCTTAGTCTCTGTGTATTCAAAGTTTGCATATGTACCACAGTTCATATCCACACCACACACACACACATGCACACACATAGCACAAGTACAGACACACACAAGTGTATCACTGGGTTCTGCCCATGTGGCTTGTATTTCCAGTTCAGTTTTCTCTGTAGATCAAAAGAACAAACTGAGCACATGTGGCAGGGGTCAGGGGGAGAAGAGAGTCCTATTGGAACGGCAGGCAATGGAGTGGGGAACATAGGAGGGGGAAAACAGAGAGACAAGGGGATGTGTGCAGCCTGGTTTATGGCTTTTGGTGGAGATATGAACTGTGGACAGAAATGGCCATGTTCCTGACATGGACCCTGCCCTCTTCATAGGACGAGATCTTTCTTGGTAGGTATCTGTCCTACCTTTCTTCTCTGCCTGGCCTCCGGGGGGTGGGATCAGCAAAAGTGGGTGGAGCCAGTGGGAGTCCCACACCCTGGGTCCCTGAGCTAAACAATAAAGTGGGTAGCAAATTCTTGGATGCCAAAACTGGAGAGTAGAGGATGTCGGGGCCCTCTCTGGAGTCAGGGCAGGCTGACTTTCAGAGACTGTGCAGTTTGCACCGCCCCAGACATGCTCCTGCTGACCCGAGAGACCACCATCATGATAGCTCAGTCCTGCCATGTGGGGAGCAGTATAAAGGGTGGGGGCAGAAGGATTCTCCAGGCTGCACTGTCTCTGGCTACAGAGGGGATGGAGTGGGAAGAGGGGCAGGTTAAGTCTCTACAGCCAGCAGACACCAGTTCCTTTGCCAGGTAGCCATGCTCTGGGTACTGTTTGGGGTAGGGCAGAGGGTGCCCCCTGGGGCTGAGGGCAAGAAAGACAGTGGAACGGCAGATGGAAGTGGAGGTCTGGAGGCAGGGCTCGGTGGGCTATGACTTAGGGCACCTCTACCACCCAGGAGGCAGCCAGAGCTTCCTAGAAGTCCATGCCACCCATCTAGCAGGTGGAGGTGGAGGACGGTGGCAGATCAAGACTCAGTGACAGGTTTGTTCCTTGGTTGGCAAGGCGAGTTTGTGTGCACGGGCATATGTGTGTGCATGTGTTCCCAGCTCTGGGCAAAGACTTTGCCACTTCCTCGCTGAAGGCCAACACACGCCTGCTGCCTTTGCCACCCTGCTCCCCTCCCAGCAGCAAGGAATGAAGTGGGGTGGCAGGAAGAATGCTCATATCAAGAAACTTAAAGAAATTGCTTTATTCCCAAATTTAGGGATGGAAGTGCTTTGGATGCTGCTAGTTTATCAGATGAGGTCAGGCACAGTCAGGGTGAAACTGCCATAGACTAAATGCTGGTTTATCCCTCAGATTTGGGGAGGGAATGAAGAATTCTTGTACCATTCCCTTATGCTTCAGGGCTCACAGGGATTTTCTGAGTGGGCAGGGTTAATCTGGGTCCTGAGTCCATTTCCTAAAGCTGTGGAGACTGAGTAGAGCCTCCCACAGGAAATAGTCAGAAGCCCTATGTGGAGTCCAAGGCTGGGGCCACACAAGAGGATTTCACAGGCCTTGGGGAGTTTGAAGAATAAGCCAGGGCTCTGGGGCAAGGGAACAGTGAAATGGTCTAAAAAGTTACTCAGGAACTTTAAAAAAAGTACTGAGGTTTGAGTTCCAAACTACAGAAATTAGGGTGCTAGGAATAAGTCCTAAGAATTCACTGGTATCTTTTGAAAACAACAAGGGATTCTGATGAGAATCACTGGCCTGGACTGTGATCTTAAAGGTATATCAGGATCCTGGGGGAAAGAACAGAATGGTCAGTTCATAATACCCAGCGTGGTCACAGGCAGAGGAAGTGGTGGTGTTAAATGGTCCTTTTGATGGGCACCTATGTGTCATTTAACAGTCCACAAAGCATTCTCATGCATTGTCTGAGCAAAGAAGAGGGAGTGAGTGACTGTCCATTTTATAGATGAAAAAATTGAGGATCAGAATCCCTGCTTGTATAAAAACACAAGGCCAGAAAAAACCCCAAAGTTTCCAAGTCTGTTGCCCACTTTCAGGGGGTGGAAAAGAGAGCAGGTGCAGGGCTGGGCTCTGGCTTACAAGTCTGGGCAGGAGGTTGTCCTTGGAAAAGCTGCCACTTTCTACTCCCACCTGGCAGCTCCCAGGAGATCAACTACAGGGCAAATGTGGAAGAGGATTCAGCGCTGTCCTGATATCTTGATGGGCAGTGGCCTCTGTTTATTTCTCCATCAAAGCACCTGTGACACAGAGACAGGCAGAGCTTTTGTTTAAAAGCACCTTGGTTATTCGGAGCAGAACCAGGTGTGGATCCCAGACTTCATACTCTCTCCACCACACTGAGGTGCAACATGTCCCCAGGTTGGGCGGAAGGAGTTGGGACCTGCATAGCTTTGGGAGTAGGGGATGCAGATAACCCATAGGGAGATAAGAACCATACAGCACGCGAGGGCCTTCAGCTGGGTAAAGGCGGGGAATGCAGTGGGGCTGGGGCCCTCTGGGGAGTCTGGTACAACAGCCCCAGAGAGGAGGCAGGGAGGGCTGTGTGGGAAGCCTGATGGATCGTCACATGTGTGAATCAGCTCTGTATTATACTTTTCTTGTTCAAGAAAAATCTGTCTCACTCAAGCCTCTGGCTCCCTGAATTCCAGGAGGAGCAGAGGAAGGAATAAGGTTTCCAGAGACACCTGAGGCAGGGGCAAGGGGTTTAGGTTCAACCTGTGGCAGGCACAAAGTTCATAGTCCTGCTTTCCCTTTTGGGTGTAGAGGGCCCTTGGCAGGTAGGTAGAGCTGGGGCTAAGATCGAGAGCTGTGCAGGGAACCAGTTTTCCAGTGGTCCCATCACAGACAGCCCTAGGACTTGGACTTTGAGTTGAGCTAGTTCTGGTTTCTGTCTCTCTTCAAAACGTAAGGCTATTGGTGCCTTTTAAGTAATGCATGTCCCCGTTTTCTTCTGCTGCTCAGTTCCTTTCATCTCTCCAGCCCCACGACTGTGATCAGGGGCTAGACTATCTCATGTCACAACAATCAGATGCCATAACTAAGCTTCAGAAAGGGTACTTGATGTGGCCTAGCCAAGCCTCTGAATCTTTAGTCTCTGTCATAGTTCCTGCCAGTTCACCAAATCCAGCTAGGACGGGACCAACTGATCAAAAGTCTTCTGTGTGCATACCACGTATAAGGTGCTCGCCTAGGGAAAGAAGTTACTCATGACACTGTGTGGTCAGCCTCCTGGGACAGAGCTTGCCCTCATCCTACAGGAGGGACTATGTCAATGTCCTGGGCCTCAGACACATTTGTGTTTCTGCCCAGAGCAACACCAACTCCTGGACCCAGGTGCATCATTGCAAGATGCATGCCCAGTAGGAGAACATGTCCAGAGAGGGGAGGCTTAGGTCCAGCCCCTATAATCCCAAGGTGGCTCTCTCACACTATTTTACTGGAAGCCCTTGACTCTGATAGCTCCAGAACAAATAGGTGCAGCACCTAAATTCAAACCTAAAGACATCAGGCAAAAAGATTAATGAAAGTTGGGCAGGAAATGTACATAAATGGGGTCTCCCGTGACCTTTTGAATGATTTCTATGGGATTTGGGGCTAGGGTCAATGCCAAGGGTACTGGCTATAGGAATCAAGTCCCTGAAGCCCTGAGAGGGTGGAAGTAAGAGATGGGAAGTGGAAAAGATGGACATAGGGTAAAGCAGGGGAGGCTTGCATTGAGGGATCCATGTAGATAAAACACAAAATGTTTGTTTGTTTTTTGGTACCAGGGATCGAACTCAGGTCCTTGTGCTTGCAAGTCAGGTGGCGGAAACACTGAGTTAAATCCCTGGCATAAAACTCAAAATGGAGTGGGCATCTTTGGAGATAAGGTGGACCCAGTATTAGGGTGTTCAAGATTGGACTCAATATTTGACAGGTGTTTAGGGGACTCAAGACATGGATGGAAGTTTTGACTAGACTCATGCTTCCTAAACTTGAATTTATATGAGTCTTCTGCGCTCTTGTGAGTTTGCACTTGCTAACTCAGTAGGTCTGAGAAGGGCCTGAGTCTAAGACATCAGATGATGCTGATGTTGCTTGTCAGACCTCACTTCGAATAGTGGAGGACTTGATGATATCCAAGATCCCTTCCAATCTGAGAACCATGAGTGCTACAATACCTGCATTACTTCTGCTCTGCTTGGTTATTAAGCCTAGCAGAAAGTTTTGCTAAGGGAGTCAAACTCCTCAGAGAGAATGAAGGTAATTTCTGTCTGAAGCAGGGTTTTCAGATTTAAGGTCCTGTCTTTCCCTAAGCTTTATTGTTGGAAACAAAGTATGTGGTGGGACAGCCCCATTTGGGCAGTTGAGTATTTTCCTGGGAGTAGGAATTCTTTTCAGGGAGAGAGGAGAAGGCAGAAGAAGCAGCA